TAACGCTGCTTGAAATCGGTTGTTTTCTTGTCGAATTGAAAATGATCCAGTCTCTCGCAATCTATTAAATGTCAACATAAACACTCTTCGGTTTGGCACTCTTCTGTTTGGAAATCGTCGTGCATATTCTCGCACCGCCTTTAAAGCATTACCGTTGCAGAAACCGTATACAAAAACCATATCAGCATATTCACTATTAGAATACGTACGCGGCATATTGCAAAAGACAAAATTCATCTACTGTTAAAGGCTTTCAAAGAGCGACTGACAAATTCATAACAGAAAGTGGAAAATGTAATCAAATATGTCGGTGCTAGATATGGCAAGAAATGTAAACATTTTTTTTCGATTTCTCTGAAACGGAGCAAAAACGAGCATATGTCTATAGGACTTTTTTTCTTAGTTTTTTACTCCTCTACACGCTCCCGAAGTTTTGCGATTTAATTTGGAAACACCCATATATATATATTTAGCTATATTTTTAAATTTTTCAGTAAAATCATTTTTTCTGTGCGGTATGTATTAGGTTTTACATATAATGTAACTTATAATGTGAAGAAAAGATATCATAGGCACAAGACTCAATAGTCTCTGAACTGATGTATTAAAGATGTAAACATGTATTCATAGGCCCATTTTCACAATATGATAATTATCTAAAGATTAAGATTATGATAATTATTATTGTAGTGATGATTATCTCTTAAGATTATCTCTGAAGTTCTATAATATGCGTGACGTAAAGTATAGTAAGTTAGCGCGCTAACATCGTTGAAAGCGCGTTCTGAATACGGGCCTAAAGGTTACCAACAGATTCATCGATGAAATTCATGAATGAATTTCTTAGTTACCTTTAATCTTTAGGTAACCATATATTATTGTGAAAATGGGCCATATATATAGAGATTCACTGTTGATACATCATAGCTCAATAATGAATTATTATTGAGTAATGAATGATAGTTCAGTTATGGTGTATCTCTATCAAAGGTGAATCTCCATAAATACAAGTTTTACACTTTTAATAGCTCATAAATTATCCATTATTGAGTCTTGTACTTATCTATAACATCTTTGTTCAGCAATTATAAGCTATATTGTCATCAGTATTCATAATTAGTTTTTATATTTAAGACGGATTCATAGTATTTATATTATAGAATTTTTTTATATTTAAGTTTTGTATAATCATAAGATGTCATAAGTCAATCACAGAGTTATGTTAGTATCTTAAGACATCACTTAAGACGATCTTAAAATAAGAATCGACTATGAATACCGACTTATATGTGAAACTATACCTGTGAAACTATATGTGAAACTATATGTAACTAATTTATTTCATCGTGACCCAGTTTTTCATATAATTAATCCTTTAATTGATACTTTAGTATGATTGGATATCTTTACGCACAGCTGGACGCATTTAGCGTTTTAAATAACGTATCATAAGGTTAAATGATTGCTCGCATCAACGGCGCAAATCGCGATTAAAGAATCGCAGCATCTCGGTCATCGCGACAGCGCGGGCAATAATACATTTCTCAGAAACGGTGAATGCGATGCGACAAGTGACAGATGCTACACAGTAGTATCCGTCGCATTTACATATATCTGGTAACGGAGGGAATGCGTCTGATAGCTCTGAATTCTCATGACTCATCTCGGTTAATTAACGCAACCAAGTAGAGAATGAAGCGCGAACGACGCATCAGACAATACAAATTAGCGACAGATTACTCGAAGGCATTATCACAGAAAGTTCGCGCTATTTGACCGTATTTTCCAACAACAAATATGACGTTTTATATTGCGTTAGAACGGAGATTAGACCGGTTATAACTCGAAACTTTGCTTACGTATCGCACACTCTTTTTTTCCTCTAGAAATCGTCTTGTTCTTTTCCTTGCAGCATTATCGCTCCAGTTAAATTTCTATTTCTTGTGATTGTGTCATCGTGCTTATCTCGTTGGTTTTTATTACGATCGACATAACGTTCTCAACTCTCGTTTACTTTCGTGATTAATTAATCGAACAAAAAAAAATTCGCAATGTCTAATTGCTGATAGCGAGTAACGATTGCCTGTTAAACTTTGACTTTAGGTATAATTCTGGTTGTCTCGATCCAACCTGGTGTCGGTAGTTCCGCTTCAGAGAGCAAAAGGCCAGCGCAAAATGTTTCTACCGTCGATACGTTAATGGACCTAGTCAGAAACATGTTTCCGCCAAATCTTGTGGAGGCCTGTATCGCCCAAAGTCGAACTGAGCCTAAGCCACCTGAGAATAGCAGTGGTAATAATTTTTTTTAAATAGAAAAGGGTTTTTTTACCTCTTAATTATTCGCATGGGAGCACCCCGTCTTATAACCATATTAAATGACTTTCTAAAATTTTTAGAGTAAATCTCATTCTGAAGAGTGAAATCTCACTTTTATAAAGATTAAAAATTGAGCTACTTTTTTTTCAGAAGTTTCACTCCAAAGAATATAGAAAGTATGAATGCTGTTTATACACAGAAAGAACGATTTATTGCTAAACTGTCTGAAAATTTAGATAGATACAGATTTGAAAATAAATTTTGTCGTCTTGTCAAAACAATTATATAAGAAATCCAAACATGATGAATGATCCAGCAAAAAATGTTGACATTATAATAGTTATCCAAGCAGAAGTAAATCATGATAACGTCAAAATGACATTAAGATGAATCGAAAATGATTGAAAAATGAACCTTTAGTAATCATTTTGGAGTCATTTTGACATCATTTTGATATCATAATAACTTGTTTTGCTTGGGTAGTTTGAAAGTCTAACATAATTATTTTGATAATCCAACAAAATTTATTTTTAGATCTATATCTATCTAAACTTTTTAGTAAAATCGTTTTTTCTATGTACACATGTTATATTTAGCACAAATTATTTCAATTTTTAAAAAAGTTTTTCATATATTTTTATCTAAAGGATGTATAGAACGTTATCAACCTCTATTTAATTGTAATCATCAAAGAGATCAAAGAAAATTGAGACATAATTTTGGAGTGTTAGGAACTTCTCAACATACTTTCATCAAGTTAATAATCATGTAAAAAAAACCATGCAAGTAATGTAGAGGTTAAATAACACAGCATTAGTTAATTTTTTATTTTAATCAGTTTAAATTAATATTTTGCCTGTTTTTAGTTCCTTTGGACGAATGGGAACTGGAGCAGAAGATGGTCTCGGGTTCAAATATTCTTGGTCTCGTTGTGTTTGCCACGGTGATGGGCATCACCCTCGGCAAAATGGGACCGCAGGCGAAGCCATTGTTGAGCTTCTTTGACTCGCTATCCGGCGCTATGATGCTGATTACTAACTGGGTCATATGGTAAGACTGTAATAGCTAAGTAATAGCTAAGTATCCGCTTCTCGAGACACATATAATTTTCTCAAGGAAAACTCGCAGAACGTCTATCGTTGCGTAACCGTCGATGATCGCGCAATTTTGTCGTGATAATTCTATCGTCTACCATCTCGACTCTCGCATCGCTTATTCTTCGTGGAATTATGAGCCTTCGAATTAAAAATCTCAAGAATATATCTGTTTGTTGTGTATGCAGGTTGTCGCCGATCGGCGTGCTCTCTTTGGTCGCTTCAAAGATCACGGAGATGAAATCGCTCGAGGAGGTAGTCGGCCAACTCGGAATGTACTTCCTGACCGTGTTGATCGCTCTGCTCATACATGGTTTCCTGGTGTTACCTGGGATATACTTTGTTCTCACAAAGAGAAACCCTTATTCGTACATAGGGAATATGGCCGAAGCGCTCGTCACTGCCTTCGGCACATCTTCGAGCTCGGCGACGCTGCCACTCGCCATCAGCTGTCTTGAAGAAAAAAACGGTATCGATTCTCGTGTCACCAGATTCGTCATGCCAATAGGCGCTACCGTAAATATGGACGGTACCGCTTTGTACGAAGCTATAGCTGCCATATTTATTTCTCAAGTGCGTAAGGTTCCTCTTTCCTTTGGACAGCTGATTGCGGTAAGGTGAGCTTTCCCATCTATTTAAATCTTCTATTCATTTCGCAAAGAAAGATGTATAGTATTTCTACACGAAAAAAATTTTGCTGAAGTATAATTTAAAAATTTGCTGGATACAGATTTGAAAATAATTTTGTTGGACCATCAAAATAATTATGTAGGAAATTCAAGCATTATGAGCAATGCTACAAAAAATTCTATCAATCGCTCTACATAATTATTGATATTCTCTAAAATTTTTAGAGTGAATTTTCACTCTTTAGAATAAGATTTTATTCCAAAGAATTTAGTAATAGTAATTATTGATTGAATCCAACGAAATTGTTTTGACGTCTACATCCAGCAAAATTAAATTTTAGGTACTTCAGCAGAACTGTTCATTTCATGTATCCAATTTATTACATTTAATATTTGTTCTAGTATCACGGCGACCGCTGCCAGTATCGGCGCGGCTGGAATTCCGCAGGCCGGCCTAGTGACTATGGTTATGGTGCTTGACACAGTACGACTTCCAGCCAATGATGTCTTCTTAATTATCGCAGTTGACTGGTTACTGTAAGTGTGTGCTTTCTTCCATTACATTAAATTTAAAAGAAACATTTGTAATGTTAAACGCGATGCGATTGCATAATTTGCAGAGATCGATGTAGAACAACCATAAATGTTATTGGTGACTCGCTCGGCGCGGGAATCTAGCAGGAACGAGCTCGCGACATTATCACACAACACGCAGCAAACGCAAAACGGAGCCGATTGTCACGCGACTACGTCGATATGAGCTGGAGTGTTTATTAATCGTTAAACCGCATCTCCTTAAGAGCTTCGTGATCGAAAGATCGATCACCTACAGCAAAACATATCGGCAAACTTATTGCGCGGCTTATCGTTGAAATATTGCCATAACTTCTTGGACTTCCGAGAGTCAGAATTGAAGAATATACAGGATGTTCCAAAAGTAACGATAAATCTTCCGCACAGGGGCAGAATGGATTAAACTTGGAAGAAAAATCCTCTACCATTTTGCAATTTTCGCAATAGTTAACAAGATATTAATTGCTAAAAATTACCGAAAATTGGTCTATAATAATTTTTTACTCAAATACTAACTTTACAGAAAAATTGCAAGAGACAAAAATTGTTTAATTTTTTCTCATAGAACTCTAAGAATTTTTTTAGAATTTTTTCAGAATTTTTTAATACCGTATTTCCTCATGTTGGTAAAACTAAGAAAATGCAGTACTAAAAAGTTGATAAAAAATTCTGAAAAAATTCTTAGAGCCTATGAAAAGAAAATAAACAATTTTTATCTTTTACAGTTTTTCTATAAAGTTGATAGTATTGGAGTAAAAAATTATTGAAGACCAATTTTCGACAATATTTAGTAATTAATATCTTGTTAACTATTGCTAAAATTGCGAAAATTGTAAAATGGTAGAGGATTTTCTTCTCAGTTTAGTTCATTTTGCCCCTGTGCGAAAGATTTATCGTTACTTTTGGAACATTCTATATATACAAGAAAATAAATTAAATTTAGGGATTAGGATTAAGAGTATGAATAAATTTGGACGACAACATGATATTACTTGTTAGTTATTATAGCCGTGTCATGTCTGAGATTTCTAATTTTTGAGTTTTTATATATAAGTTATCATAGAGAATTTTGAGGAATATTATACGCCGTTGACGGGTATCTACATTTTCAATCGTACAATATGGCAACGAGCGCGAGACGCGATCCTGACAAAGTGTTCTTGCGTACTCAGAGTAAGTGTTCTGTTTTTATCTTAGCCAAATAATCAGTTTAGTTATTAATTATCCTACACTGAACCAGACTACAAAGAAAGGGAGCAATCGACACTGTATCATCATATCCTAAATGCCATATCTGCGATAAACGCACGCGGAATGCGACGAGCGCGCGAATATTTTCTTTCGATTATCTGTATGCAAGTACTGTAAAAGAAAAGAAAATTATTTTGGTAGTCACTTACTTGACATCCATTCCGCGATACAAAATATAAATGTACGTAACTATAGGACAATGAAATATCGGTTATTAATGTGTAGCTTGCGGTGCGAGCGACGAGCATTCTTTAAATGATTTTCGAATATAAGATATGCTTGAAACTAAATACTTCTTAACTTTAGTCAAGGTAGGCCCCACTAAGCGAATTTGCTTGTAAAATATATAAGTATATAGAACATATATATATATTACATATTCTTGTCTTCCATTCTTGCGTTTTATAAGAATTACGCTTATATGATATTGCCACGTTACATTTCGTTTCAGCCGCATACCATAATTTGCAATCCGGTTTTCCTTTGCGAGTTACATCTCTACGTTTCTTCAGAAGATTGCATTTATGATTACGAAACTCGTAAAAGATTCACGAAAAGCAAAATGTATTTTGAGAAATTGACTTTACTATGATTTTATGATAAAGAGTCTTGAAGTGTTTATTGTTATTTTTTTGTATGACAATAGAAGCGAGGATTACGTATGTAATTTTTGCTCACGCATATTATTATTCCGCGGCGATACATGTTAGAAAATAATTAATATATATATATATATATATGTCATCGTGACATAGATTATTGCCAACATGTTTCGAGGGTAGCTTTTACACCTACTTGATATCCAGTGAATAAAAGCAGACTTAATAAGTTCGATGCCATTAACAACAATCAACCGCGGGACTTAACCCTTAAGTATGAAGCAACGTTGATCATTTCACAACCCCATGATTCCTCGATTGAGAAAACGGATATGCAATTTTCCACATTTTACATGTTTCTTCACGCGATGGAAAAAAATTCGATAAATCGTAACACACGCCTGACAAAAATAAAAATCGGAGCGTAATTTATCGTTGTAGAAACTTAATATCGATCCTGGCTAATTAATCACATATTTTGAGTATTAAAAATATTCACTGTGAATAGTACTTTTAATATTTGAAATAAGTGATCAATTTGCTAATACTAGTATTAAATTTCTACAAGGATGAAAGTAAGGGAAGAATGATAGAAGTGTAAACAAAGCTTTTAAGAGACGAAAACTGAGACAACGAAATATAAAAGAAGATAGGATCTCTTTCACGTTTTCGTTGTCTCAATTTTCGTCTCCTTGAAATTCTGTTTACGGTTCTGTCACTCTTTCTATATATTCAACTTACGTTTCAATTCTTGTTTTTGCCAAGGAAGAACGTAAACTTTTGGAAAATATGCATTCAATCGTTGAGCATTATATCTATCAAATAAAAAAGCAAAATCCGTACTTAAGGGTTGAAATACTTTTCCTTTTTTTACAACCTTTTGTCTTTCGACACAACAAAAATGACCATTGCTAAATCGTGATGTCTTCGCGTGATATGTAAGAGAATTATATGGAGAAAATAACAAAAAGAAATAATTAATAAACGTATCGCCTTTTATTCGTAAATCCTTTGCTGCAAGATCCTTTTGTTATTTTTTTATACAAAATTTATTCTAAATTTCTAATTCCTGCCACATTTGCAAAATTTATAACATAATTACTCTGACTTGAGTTTATTTATCTGTAAGATTAATTTTATTTATATTAATTAAAAGGCACTGATTAATTTCAAGGAACAAAAGTAACGTAACTCACGTAAAAAAGAATAAACATTAAACATATTTTAATAAGAATAAATAAGCACTGTTGTTCAGTACTTTTAGTATTCCAAATAAGTAATTAATAGCATTTTTCATTAATAAATTGATTATTTCATCAGATTTTTATATTACAATCGGTGAACATTTTTTCATGCATGAATATGTATAAATATGTATAAACATACATAAATATTCGTAAACATGTATAATCATATATGAAATATGTCCATACATGTTCATACATATCCCTCTTTCTTTTGTAACTACTTTTTAATGTAATTGAAACAATAATTATAGTAATGTGAAAATATTAAAAATAACTAAAAGGATAATTTTCACACTATTTGTTTTAGAAAAAATCAAGTTCGAAGAAATGTAAAAAAATTACTTACTATACGTATAATTATATATAAAATTATGCGCAATTGCATACGAGCAATTCTTTTAACATTTTTTCAAACTTATTTTTTTCTAAAACGAAAATTATTATCCCTTTAATTATTGTTATGTTTTCACATTAGTATTATTATTGCTATTACATTAAAACGTAATTTTACAAAAGAAAGAGGAATGTATATATATGGAACATATAACATTTCATATATGATTATACATGTTTATGAATATTTATATATGTTGATACATATTCATACATGAAAAATTTTTTACCGAGAATTATTGTAAGGATTCTCAATATTTATATATGATATTAATAATTCTTTGGCATATGATAGATTTATATATTTAGATTTTTAATGAAAGAAATTAAGGAGAAATTCGAATAAATCACATTAAAGAATCTTACAACAGTTACGAAACCATTTTTTCTGCTGAACACAGAAAATTTTGACGTGAAATTCAGTCGCGTTGACCGTTTCGTGTGAACTCGTTTGAACGCGCGCAGCGCGCATGCGTGGCCGCCATGTTTGCTTCACTCCGCGTCGCAAAACGTCGCGTCGCAGTTATTCGGTCGGTCGGGACGGCGTCGAGTTGCGCCGTGTTCGCTTCACTTTGTTCGTATTTTTCTCGCCGTCCCGTACGCGAGTGATATCGCGCGTTCAAGTGTGAACTCACACGAGTCGCGATGTGCAAGGATTTTGGATTGAACGAGAGTTGCAGTCGACGGAGCGGCCGGCACGATGAGCAGCGGATGGTGAGTCAATTCGTTTATATTAATACCATTTTATCTATCATATTTCATCGTTTATCCGCAATTTTGTGTCCCGATTACGCTCAAGTGAATTATCATTTATTCGTAAACGTAAAATCGTTCTTACCTGCACGGCTCGATCGAGGCAATTCAATCGTGCGAAAGTAGTTAGAATGGGAACGATTTGAAGTTGACTGCGCGTACGCGCGCGAAGTTCTCGCGATGGACGTCGCTTTCCAGGCGTGCCAACCTTCGTGCGACGAACTTCCCGAATTCCCGAACTATAACCTCGATTCCTCCGAGCTGATTGTAAACATAACCAAACATAACCGTACGTTGCGTTGATCGCAATGTATCGGCTTCCGAAAATATCTAATTCTCTCTCTGACTACAATATATTTTATTGAAATATTAATCCTTCTAATAAATGTAGAATACCGCCGATATATTCCTTCGCAATTCAATGAGAAGTTCGAGAACGTGGGATAATTAGTTAGGTTAGCCGAAGTGTTGTTCGCCAAGATGCTTGACGTGGCATTTTTATACGCGTGCAGTTTTTGATTTTTATTCATAATTTATTGAGTATTTGGGTACGTTTTTAAAACAACCATGAACACAATTTTATCAACGCTGATGAGAGGCGTCTTCTGGATAATTACCATAATAACCAAGGGTCTCGAGGCTCTCGTTCACGTAGAGCTGGACTATAATGGTTTTACGAAATTCTTGTTTTACACATTCCTTGCAAGCACTGCACTTCTTTTTTGGTATTTGAATGGTATCCAACCGGAATATTATATCGATGAGGCTTTCCACGTACCTCAAACGTTACGATATTGTGCGTGGAATTTTACGGAGGTAAACATTACAGAAAATTTTGTTTTAATACTCTCTCTCGAGTGCACAAGCTGTATATTTTCTTTAACGTAATTTTTATACAGAAATAAGTCGTAAATTATTTTCAGTGGGATCCTAAAATCACTACGTTGCCAGGCTTATACTTTATTACCAGCGTGATATTGTCTCCATTTAATCTTTGCGACATTACTTACATGAGAGGCATAAGTGTACTTGGAGCTTTCATAAATCTCTATCTTTTTTTTAACATTATAAAGGAGAATTGGATGTCACAGATGGATTGGTGGAACAAATGGTCGATTATCGGACTGACACATAATCTTACTCTTTTTCCACCATTGTATTTTTGGTCCTTTTTTTATTATACGGACGTTATGTCTGTGAACATGGTGCTTTTAATGTTTTATCTGCACCAACGTAAGCACACTATGATGGTGGCCCTTGCAGGTAATTATTCTGCAGCTGTTTAAGTCATGTGGGGAAATATAAATAAAAGTAATACATCACACAGGTTTACTAGCCGTGCTCATTCGTCAGACGAATATTATTTGGCTCGGTTTCTTTACTATAGAACGCGCATTAGATATATTTGATAGCAGGATGAAGGAGCCTGTCCCACCCAAAAAGCTCAGTACTTCATTGCACTTTTTTGTAAGTAATATTACATATTACCTGTGAAGAGAGAGGAAGTGCTCTTATTAGACTAAAGATTGAGATTGAATTTGATCAATCAAAGCAAAGGTTACTAAATTATATTGGTTTTCTTTCTTCTGATTGACTAAGGTGCTTCCCAGCAACAAAACATAGTTGTACACTGTGTGACACAGTGATACAAAGTGTTGACTTGTAACTAAAATGTCACTTAGCTTTTTATTTCATCACCAGAGAGAAATAAAGAAAAAAATCTCATACACCTATATTTGAATATATCCGAATGTAATTTTGAAACATCTTATTGGAGTATATATCACTTCTAGAAAACAATTGGTAATGAAATGTTCAAATTTGATATTTTTGAAGTGTTATTAAATGACAACACAGTCAAGCATGATTGCGCATCAACTTGTGTTAAACTTGGAAAGTACGGAATCATATACTGTGTTACATACTGTCGCTTGTATACATTGTTGAAAAGCATTCTTAATCTCAATCTTAGGCCGGTATTCATAGTCAAGTTTTATATTTAAGACTGTCTTAAGTACAGTCTTAAGATATCATGAACCAATCAGAGGCCGGTACTTATAGTCAGTTCTTATATTCAAGCTCGTCTTAAGTTCAGTCTTGAGATGTCACGAACCAATCAGAGGGCCGCATTAGCGTCTTAAGATATTACTTAGGACGCTCTTAAAATAAGAAAGTATTATGAATACCAGCCTTAATCTTTAGCTTGATACGAGTACTATAGACAAATTAATCAAAGTAAACTTCTTAAACCACTTTTAGTTAATTTGGAGGCAACTAATGTACGAATTACGCAAAGGTCCACTGTGCTTCGTCAAGTTCGTTGCGCAGATATGCGGTAGTCTACTTCCTTACTTAACGGTATGCCTCATGTTCGTTACTTTTGTCGTGTGGAACGGAGGCATAGTGGTCGGCGATCGTAGTGCCCATGTTGCAACGATCCACGTTTGTCAGATATTTTATTTCTCCACCTTCGTTTCTCTGTTCTCATGGCCATACGTTATACCTCATTGGCAAACGTGTTTGCGATTCCTTCGTCAGCATTGGATTTTCGCGAGTGGTGCTATCGCGTTGATGGCCGCAATAATATGTTCCAATACGCTCGTTCATCCGTACATTTTGGCTGATAATCGACATTACTCGTTTTACGTGTGGAATCGATATATGGGCCGATACGCGGAATTCAAGTACCTGCTGATACCGATTTACTGCGCGAGCCTGTTCGCCATGTCACGGAACATTGCTCATTTGAGATTTCTCACACAGATTAATTATGTTATTTGCGTGTGCGTGGTGCTGATACCTCAATTATTGGTAGAACCGCGTTATTTCATCCTGCCGTACATATTTTACCGTTTAAATATGAAGAGGCCAGAAAGATGGCAGATTCTTTGCGAATTCTTCACGATACACGCTATCAATTTCTTGCAAATTACGATTTTTGCCACCAAAGTATTTTATTGGAAGGATCAGCCTTATGCTCAGCGAATTTCTTGGTGAAATTTACAACGCTGAATCTACAAAATAAAAAAGAACTCTATTTTTATGTAAAGTGTATTCAATATCTTCCCTCGCGTTTCTATTTCTATGAACAGTAAAGTCGATTTAGAAAGACAAGATTAAAGGAAAGATATTAAGAGAGATAATTACTCGGAATAATAGTTTATTGTTCGTAACTAAAATTTGTGGCAAAACTGCTAGCTGTTTTTATTCAGCAACAGTTTGTTAATTGTAACTTCACGGCATATAAGTATATTATCATCAGCGCACAATACATTAATCAGTTCACTGATAATGATTTATATGTCAGTGAAAAAAAGTTATTATATGTTTTTTGATCATATTGGATTCGTTATTTTGAAATTTCGATCCTAGATTCATCACCAATGATTCAAAAAAATCCTTGTAGTCACGAACTTTTATGTAAAATACGGAATCATTCACTTTCACCAGTTTTGGCAAAAAACATTTGAATCCATCAGTGAATTGGTTAAATGTATTTGGATCAGCTCTAAGCCCAGTGAATTTTTTGATGAATTTATGACAAACACTAAATGTACGAAATAAATTCTATTTTCATGTAAAGTATTCAATGTCTTCCTCAATATTTCTATTTCTATGAACGATGTCGATTTAGAAAGACAAGAGTAAAGGGAAGATATTAAGAGAGAGATAATTATTTGGAACAATAGTTTATTATTGTTCATAACTGAAACTTGTGGCAAAACTGCTAGATGTCTTTGTACAGCAACAGCTTGTCAATTTATAATTTTACGGCACGATATTATCGTCAGCGCACAATATATTAAATGTATTCAATCGACGATCGAGGACTTTTTATACTTCTATTACATTTTTTCGTTATTTTCCACATATTATCATTTCCTTATTGAATCTAAATGTTGCGCGTAACGTTATAGTAAGAGGTACCGAGATGCAATTTGCGAATCTTCTTCACTTATTCTAAATTTCTTTTTTTATTGATAGTAAGAATTGTGTCTTGAGAAAATCAGGCCTGATAAAAAAATATCTTTGTAAGTAAATTCCGCAAAAATGAAAAAAAAAAAAAGAATATTATACGCATCAGAACAATTTTGGGTCTGTACTCCGAATTTGCAAAAATACTAAATTGAAAAAAAACACGAATTAAATCATTCTTATTATAATGGGAAAAATAGCGAGAGAAATATGTGTGCACTGTAATTTTCATTGATGAAAAAGTACTCCTATCCTCTCCAATTCTTTCGGACCTGGGTGTGATATGAATATATGTATATATAACAAAAGATTAATTATTTTGTTTAGAAATAAAGATTTATATATACAATTTCCGGCTTGCACATATACACTCAGCCTCTGGATTGCCGGAAATTTGAGCATTACTTGCGATGAAGGCGTTTTTATCCGCCTCTATCACATAGAACTGATAGAAAATAATACAATCGTATATTACAAACCGTCTAAAATCAACGCGCTAAGTACTTTCTAAGATTTCACAAAATTAAAACTAAGACTTCTTACTTCCTACATATTCTGATAAAACAAAAATAAAATCGTTCACCTATCTATTTCTCTTCCTCTCTTTCTCTCTTTCTCTCTCTCTCGCTCGCTCGCTCGCTTTCTCTCTCTCTCTTTCGCTCGCGCGTTCTCTTTCTTTCTCTCTTTACAATCTAACTGTGCGAGAATCGCACATATTGCTTGTCGTAAGTTTATTGCGGACCGTATCCATATAAATAAATTTAAAATTTAAATAACATATCTTCTATACACAAATTTCCACACATTCTGGCAGGATATGTGAATGAGGAAAAATTTAACGCCATTTCACTTTTTCGACATTTGATCAATTTCTAAATAGTGCAGTTACCCTATAGATATTTTATGTATATACTGTAATTTTTTGAGTTTTGGTGTCATAGCAATAATATACATATACGTGTATGTATATAATATATATACACACACATATATATAAATATATGTATATATCTCATAGAACATAAATAGCGATAAATTATTATCATCCATACGCTAGAATCACGCCTATGGCTATAAAGCGTCACACGCTAGATGAAAGTAGATGAAGTAGAGCACTTTCGGAAATTAATGTGTCGTAAGAAATTATTGGGAACTAGAAAAATATTTTAAGTTACCCTGGGGGTCAATCATGTAATTTCACGTGAAACTTTTTACGCTTCATCTTACACTTTTCATTTTTCACTCATCGAAATTTCACGTGATACTTTTCACGCATAGCGTGCTTGAATGCGCTGACTTCTAGGCCGGTATTCATAGTCCGTTTTTATTTCAACATAATAATTTATCTCTCGAAATAATGATCTAGCGGCGAATAACATGGCCGGACTCATTAAATTTCAAAGTATATTTATTAATTTCTTAGGTTTCCGCCTTTTCGCTATCACGGTTCACGTGAACAATTTCACATTTTCACGGTTGGGAGAGTTACATAATCGATCCCCAGACCAAACTAATGATATGAAGTTTTCCAATATCGATGTTAAAGATATACAATCGAAAGTGCTACTAAATATACATATAATATACAATAGAAAATTTTTTTTTGTTATTTTTCCGCAGTCTTTCGAGCGTTCGTACAGCAGAATTCCTAATGCCTGAATTAATTAAACTGACTGATAATTAATTAATCTGATCCACGATTAATTACTACTTTATGTAACTAATTTTTAACTTTGATTTTTTTAAATGTACAAATTGTATAATTGAAGACAACTACGTTATTCTCCGATTAAAGAAATAGTAAGTAACATACGCGAAGTATTTGTATAAGATCACAGGAAATTATAGATAATATTTGATCCAATATTGGTCGAATTTTTACAGCGATATGTTAGAGTAATAGAGACGTTCGGAATTATCAAGGTTCCACTGTACAATTCTGATTCGATACTATTCTGACGATTTCATCGGCAAACAATCGAAACAGATTCTTTGGATTTCGCACTCAGTGCATACCTTTTTTTATTTCCTAGCTTTTTGTAGTACTACTTAATTCGCGCGAACCGTGCAAGAGGAATCAAACGTAGCATTAAATATTATACCTTTCTAGGAAGTACATATTTTCTACGCACACGCACGCAAGTACATTGGTAACGGAAACGCTCTATTTGATTATAATTCGCTATTTTGCTTATGATTTCGTAAATCGACGTTACGCGATGAAATAAATGGACTATGCTAAAGGAAATGAAAGAGCAGCGACGAGCGCAACTCTGGAATTAAAAGTATCTCTATTCAGTCAAATACAGGAGAAGATGCTTGTTTCGGTGAATGCTACTCGTACGATATAGGCATTCCACGATATTCAGTCGTGAAATCAATTTTTCAGATTCTTCGAAAAACCTGAAAAATTTATTCGGTCTAAGTTATGATAATTATGCGCATATTGCATGTTTCGGCATTTTTTAAATGCTGATTTATGCTGATTTATGTTGAAGGCTAAATAAGTCAAAGGTATCTTATGCATTTCAACGTGATATTCTTCGATCGAAAATACCCGTCGAAGAAAATTTCATATTTTCATCAGAAATCTTCGCGTAAATAATAATTTCTCTATTGTTGACATAGCTAAACTTCGATTTTCGTGCTTCGACTTTTAAACATTTATCCTCTCATTCGAAATTTTTCGAAATTACGAGAGGAATTCTTATTAAGGGACTTGCTCTAATTCTTTATCTCGCAATTGCCTATGCTTGCTAATAACAATTAAGAGGCAGGATAAGATTAAATGACGATCGTTAAACATTATACTTGGTAATTAGATTAACGAGCAACGTCAAGTTCATCATTGGGAGATCGATCAGCGTGAATTAAAGGGAGGGCGTAAAATCGCTCAGATATTTTCACTTTTTGATCGAGTCATTCGTGTCATACTAGAGCAAGTTTAGGAATGAAACTTCGCGCTATGGAATAGATTGGAATAGAATAGAGTATCTATTTATAAGAATTTGGGACATATCCCTCAGGTAGAGTAAAGTAAGTGTAAGAGTTTAACGTTACAGCGAGTGACTCATTTGCTTTCTTTGGTCGTTGATCTGCACAGTGCGCGATTTCAACATTTATACGCGTAAAGATACTTCGAAACCTCGCCTCGATTTTCGTCTAACGAACATCACCATCCCACGTATCAATCAGTATTATTAATGAGGAATTCATCTTCCTTTTCGCATTTATAGACGGAAAGAACAATATTACTGAAGCAAAAAAATTTTAATTTGTTGGACTATCAAAATAATCATGTAAAACCTTGAAGGTAATGTTGCAAGAAGTTTTAACATTGTAACCACCAGTTTAAATGCCCTACATAACTTCTTTGGTGGTTCAAATGAAATTATCTTCAGTATCTAGCTAAATTTTTAGATTTAGCAAAACTGATCTTTCCGTGCAACGCTTCACGAAAGTGGGAATGCCAAACAGTAATAGACGGTTTCGGACTCTACGCGTAAATTTCTATCTGCACTGTATCGAGTCATAGCGTTGCCTCGAGGATCCTACTTTATTCTTTTTCTCCACCGCTGTATTCTTTCTCGGAGCAAGGACGTCTTCGGGGCAAGCTACTTGTTGCGAATGTGTAAAAGCTGATAAAAAAACGATTCGTTTTACCGGCTATGCTTAAAGGTAATAACGATTTTCCCGCTCTCGCCGTGAGAGAGAGGGTAGATATACTTTTAGGCACTGAATCGCACAGTTTTCCGCACCTAGGAATTCCCCTGGAGTGACACCGATGTAACTAGTGCGAAGGAGGGGCGGGATTACACACAAGATTCAGGTTCGAGTTCACGCATCTTCGTTGTCCCGGCCGACATCATACTATCTGCTGCTTGAGCTTCACCAGATTCGTCGCGCCGTAAAGCTTCATGTCCAACGGCGCGCTCGGCTCGTTCTTCTTCGTCTGTGTGTGCCAAGCTAGCACCTTGGTGCAATTGTCCGCCAGCAGTTGGGCGTCCCGTGGCTCGAACGGTGCCAGACTCTTCAGGAACCCATCCTCCTCGTATCCCGCA